GCTCGTTTATGTAACTTTCTCACTTCGTTTTCTCGAACGATTTTCTCACTTTTGACAATTACTCACTAGAAGTGTTTATGTAACTGTGGTGAATTGTTTTCTCACTTTTTTTCGTTCGAGTTTTTGTCACCTGTCAAATTGCTTGCGAGAAGTTTTGAATTTTGAATGAAAAAAAGTAAGTTAAAGTGAATAAATTTAAATTTTTGGTACAAGTGCTATTTGCAAGCACTAAGCAACCTTTTAAAATTGTTTTATTTTCGTTCAATTTTTTCAAAAAACGTTCCATTTTTTCAAAAAACGTTCATTTTCATCAGTTTCTCTCATCACACCATAACGTTCTCGTTAAACTCGAACGATTTACATAAACGGGCTATAGCTCTCAATTCAAAATTATGAGAAATGAGAAAACAGAATCAAATATAGAAAAAAAAAGAAGAAATCTAAAAATTGGCGAATACAAGTTTCATTAAGTTTAAAATTTCTTAAAAAATAATAGCGTGAACATTTAAAATTCTAAAACATTAAATCAGTAATTTAAATTAAAACACTTAAAATATAAAGTTATATTAGTGATTAGCTCTATAACTTAATATAAAAGGACAAAGAAATAAAAGGATATCACATATCAATTCGTTTCGTCATGCTGATGATGATATATGTAATATATATAATTTCTGGTACTCGCAGTCTCAAAAAATTATTTACGAATAATTAAATACCAGAATTATTTCCAAAACCACTGATGATGGATATTTGGCAATACTCGAAACAGCTGTATGGTCAGCCAAAAATTCAACTAATTGAAATAATATAAAATGAATTTTTGTCGTTTTAGTTCACTCCTGTTCTAGAAAGCTCTTTATAATATATAGTATATATATCAAAATGTTCGATATTCCTGATTTAATACTTTGATAAGATTAATAAACTTTAAGTTCATCAAAATATTAATTACACTATAATATACTGTAAAGATAATACAAAATATCATTGAAAAGTTAGCTTAATAATATGCTAAGTTTATAACAGAGTAATTTCTATAAATTTTCTTTTAAGTTATAAAATGCATTTAACAAAAATGTAAAATAAATTTTTCAGAAAGATTTGAAATATTTTTTTAAAAAATAAAAAAAAATATTCACAGTATGTCACCAAAATCAACCGCAAAGATAATTTAAATCCATTCAAATGCTGTGAGAATTCGTTTCGTGTATAATTTTGTACGTCCTCCATGTAGAGCATAGCTCAGACTTCTCAATGTTCAGTTTGTGGTTAATTATATTTAAATTTAGTTACTAATTAACTGAAGTTGGATAAAAGTAAAAGTGAAACTCTATTTGTAGCAACCTAGGCACGGAAGGCACAATACTTAGTCTGAACAATGAAAAGGTTGAACTTTAAAGTGAACAAAAAATCTTAATCGTGATAAGAAAATTTTTAACACTTAAACGCGTGCGAATTTCTGTAATTGAATGAAATCTTAATAAAGAAAAAGAAAAACTGAATTGAAATTAACACAGCACTTCGAGCAAATACAAGGGAGATAAATCCAAAGCAAAAAGGGCGCTCTCGGATGTACATGAACTTTGGTTGTTAATGAAACAATGTTACATGGAATGCTGGGAAATATTTAAAGAAGTAAAAATTTGAAAATAACGGAAGCCACAGATAACAAAACAATTTTGGAAAAATTTTTACTTTACACAATATATATTGCAATATAAACAATTACACCGATTCAGAGAGAGAGCTTATTTAGTGCACAATATTTATGTAATTTTTAAAAAAAAATTTAAGAGAATTTACTAAACTGTATTTCTTTAAATGCAGTTTTGAAACAATAATGAAATTGGAAAAGTGTTTAAAAGTAAAATATTTTGTCTTCTGTGTCATTAGCTCTTATCACCCGAATCGTCGAGTTTCTTCGCTTAAACAATTTTACACATTCGCATAATATTTACTAATCCCTTCCCTTCGTTAGTTTAGCCTAGTTATTTACAAATTCCTGGCAGAAATACAATGTCTGAATCCTATTTACAGCATTCCTATCTCGACATCTAATCTAGCCTTAATCTTGCTATCCCGTAGTTTATTCATATCAGCGGTAATTGTTTTAGCTTGCTGTGTAAAATTATTATTAATATTATTATTATTTTCTTATTAAATTCAAATTTACATATTTCATGAGTTAAAGTCCTTTATAATATACCGACCTCTATAATATATATTAGCAGGGACAATTATTTATTTAATATAATATACTTATCAATGACAAACTCGTCAATAAGTACTATATTGATAATTACAATAATATTCCTTTAGATATTTAAGGAAAAAATATACGATATACTGTCCTTACATTAAAATAATACAATAACTCACACAGTTTCAATATCAGTTCAAAATAGGAAATTTATTATATTTTTTGTTTCAAGTAAATGAAAATTGCTGCTATATACAGAGATAAAATATAACTACTATTTACTCACTTACGAAATATACATTATGTCTTATTACTACCGTTCAATTGATTAACTTTTGTCTTATTGACTAAATGCATTTAATATTGAGAACGTAATAGTCGCCAAGGATATACTACTTTCAACGGATCGATTTGTAATTCACAAGCATCAGATCCACAATTTTCGTCAACGACACCAGAGAACATGGTCACTTCATAAGCACATCCAATCTTCTGTTGAAGAGACACATTTGGAAAATGGGCTAAATAATAAGCCAGAGCACCAACAAACCCTGTACCTGTGTTTGTCAGGTTTCTAATAGAACGTGGACGTAAAGGTACTAGTATATACGAACGAGTCTCTTGTGTTTCAACGTAAACTACTCCACGTAATCCGACAGTTATAATTGGTATCTTTGCACCCATTTCTAAAATTTTATTTAATGCCATAACGAAGTCACTTTACCAAAACAAAAAAAAATTTTTTGTTAAATACAATTGATAATTTTTAATCAATATAAAATTACTTCACGACTAGAAGTTTTGATACTCCGAGAATACGTGCGGCCATTTCTCCACTGCAACAATAATAGGTCGCTTCTTTTATGCAATCAAGTGGAGGGTTTTGAATGAAAACGCCATCTAAGATTGAAATTCCCTTAAATGTCTTCAAAGCATGTATTACTGATCCCAAATTTAAATCTTGTTGACAGATCAATACCTGCAAAATTGACATGATTAAAAAAAATATCGGAGATTTGCTAAAAATGCACGAGAGCGCTTACTTTAGCATTTTTAAAAACTTCCAAAGCTGAGCCGATATCAACACAGGTGGCTAATATATTGGCGCCTGGTATAGAAATGATATGTTTTTGCCCATTATCTCCGATATTGATTTGCCGAATCCCTGTTCTCTTTTAAATTCTTTGTTAACCATTGAAGTACACATTTATTCATTTCTCAGAAGTATCACTTACCTGCCCTCTACATATTTCTAGATAAGTTGTATCGATATCTAAACTTTGCATATATTCAGCGAAACTTTTTCCATTATCATCCAATCCAACCTATGGTAATGCATTTTTTTAATATAAGCAACAATTAAAATATAAATTTTGTATTCACTTTTGTAACTACAGCTGTTCGAGCACCGAGTTTATTAGCCACAGTGCCACTAAATATAGTATCTCCGCCAAAATCAGCCTTAATTTCATTAGCCACCATTTTCTCACCTTTTCTAGGTAGGCGAGGAACGCGACTGTATTAGAGAAAGCTGTTAGTGTTAAATTTAAATTTAAAATATAATAATTCCCGTATCTAACCTAATAATATTAAAATAAGCTGCCCCATAAACAATTATTTCTATGTCTTCTGCCATTTTTGGTAGCTATAAAAGATCAAAATAAAGTCTAAAAAACCACAAATTTTTTATCCACAAAAAATAAATGAAAAAATTAACTTGAAATTCAAAGTTTCTTTGATCAAAAATTTTATCGATTTCAAATTTTAAAATTCACAATTGGTAATGGGTCAATCAGAATATATAAAGTATATTATATTTAATAATCTAGTAGCTATAAAATCAACGATTTTGTTTACGTTGACGTAAACGATTCTAGTAGGTTCATAACAAATCATAGAAAAGAGGGGACAATTTCAATATATCGAATGTTTTTTTAACTGCATGAGGACTTACAAGACAGAAATATTGTTGGAAGCTAAGACATGGCGAAGAACCGTAGACCAGTAGCTTAAAGATGCACAGTACAGAGAAGCAGGCAAAAGAGTAAGATCAGAGGAATCTTTGACGCCCTAAGCCTCACTAGGAGAGAAGGGCAGCAGTAAGTAAGTACGTAAGTAAGTTCAAGTCTTAAATGATTCATGATGAATTGTCAAACCTTACTGAACAGGAATGTGAAGACAGTTTGACATTTTCAAGCTGTAAAGCTATAGTTATGGATATCGATATTTCTTATGCAGCTACAAAAAACACACCATGTAATATTATTAATA